CCCTGTGTCGAGGGACGGCAGCGGGCTACCCCTCACTCCTCCCAGTTTCCTCCGACAGAGGCCCCGCTGCAGACGCTTCACATGGACGTGTGGGGCCCGGCCCGTGTCCGTGGACAGGGTCACGAGCGCTACTTCCTGCTGGTGGTTGACGACTACTCGCGTTACACCACAGTCTTCCCCTTGCGCAGCAAGGGTGATGTCACTGAGGTGTTGATCGACTGGATCCGCGCAGCTCGTCTCCAGCTCAGGCGGAGCTTTGGCTCGGACTTTCCTGTTCTGCGTCTGCACTCTGACAGAGGCGGAGAGTTCTCCTCTGGCCTTCTGCGAGCCTACTGTCGTGCACGAGGCATCCGCCAGACCTTCACGCTTCCGGACTCTCCACAGCAAAATGGGATTGCTGAGCGCCGCATTGGCATGGTCATGGACGTCGCCCGTACGTCCATGATGCATGCGGCTGCCCCCCATTTTCTGTGGCCGTTTGCGGTTCGGTACGCGGCGCATCAGATCAACCTTCAGCCCAGGGTCTCCATGCCGGAGACCTCCCCAGCTTTGCTGTGGACGGGGAAGGTTGGCGATGCGTCTGCGTTCCGTGTCTGGGGATCTCGGGCGTTTGTCCGCGACTTGTCTGCGGACAAGCTGTCCCCTCGTGCTGCTCCTTGCGTCTTCCTGGGTTTCCCCCCTGACGCCCCAGGGTGGCAGTTCTACCACCCCACCTCTCGCCGTGTTCTGTCCTCCCAGGACGTCACGTTCGACGAGTCGGTCCCCTACTACCGCCTCTTCCCCTACCGCACTCCGTCCCTCCCCCCGCCACCGCTCTTCCTTGTACCAGGTCCCCCCCCGGTAGACCCCCTCCCCCCTCAGGGTCCTGCCCCTTCAGGTGTGTCCCAGGTAGACGCTGTTGAGCCTGTCGAGGTCGCTGGTGACTCTGGTGCTGCTGAGGGTGCTGAGCCTGGGGGTGCTGACTCTGGGGGTGCTGAGCGTGTGGGTGCTACGCCTGGGGGTGCTGAGCCTGGGGGTGCTGAGCCTGGGGGTGCTGAGTCTGGGGGTACTACGACTGGGGGTGCTGAGCCTGGGGGTACTACGCCTGGAGGTGCTGAGCCTGGGGGTGCTGCGTCTGAGGGTGCTGAGCCTGGGGGTACTACGCCTGGAGGTGCTGAGCCTGGGGGTGCTACGCCTGGTGGTGCTGTGCCTGGCGGTTCACCGGGTGCTCCCTCTCGCAGAGAGCCACTCTCTCCCCAGGAGCTGCGTGAGTGGTTTGCCCGGCACTGGAGGCGAGCTGCTGGAGCTGCTGGAGCTGGAGGTGCTGCGGGTACTGGAGGTTCTGTTGCTTCTGAGGGAGCTGGTGCCACGGGTCCCGGAGGTGCTCGTACTGGGAGTACTGGAGCTGCTGGACCTGCGGTTACTTCTGGAGCTGGAGTTGCTGCGGGTGGTGGCGCGGAGGCTACTGCTGTCGGTCCTGGAGGCGGTCCTGCTGGGGGTACTACTGGTGCTGCTGGGGGTTCTGGAGCTGGAGCTGCTACTGGTGCTGGTGCTGCCCCTGCGGGTGCTGGTGCTGTCCCTCCTGTGTCTGGAGTCGCCGCGCGGCCTCGGCCGTACTTCGTTCCGCTCCTTCAGCAAGTTCTTGGTCTCCCGCCTTCTACTGGTCCTCCTCCTCCCTTAGAGTGTCCACAGCCTGTCCCGTCGCAGTTACAGTTACAGCCGGCCTTCCCACTGCCTGCTCCGTCTCCCTACACTGGTCCTACTGGAGGTCTTGCTGAGCGTCGTGAGCCTGCGTCTCGCCCTGCGTCGCCTGTCCGTGCTGCTCGCACTAGTGGTCGCGGTTCGCGTCAGCGTCCTCCTCCTGTCCCTGGCACGCACCGGATGTCTCTGCGTCCGTCCACTGCTCCTCTGCGTGCCCCTTTGCCTTCTCCTCCTGAGTCTTCTCTTCCTACTCTTGTCGACCCGGAGTCGGACTCTCTTCGCGCTGCCAGTCCTACTGTCACGCGTCTCCTTGCTACGGTTGTCACTGACCCTTCCTTTGAGTCCACTGCTGCGTCTGCTCTAGTTGCTGAGCTCGTCGACTTTGCTGCTCGCTGTCGCCTAGACTACGTCGCCAGTCTTGTTGCTGAGTCTGAGTGTGTCTGTCCTCCGTCCGTCGGGGGTGAGTGTGCCCTTGGCACGGACGTCCTTGAGGACAGGCAGGAGGAGTTCCAGTGCTTGGCCGCTGCTTCACCTCATCTCGTGTCCGTACTGCTTACCCCTGAGGGAGACCCGGATGCACTTGACATCCCGACTCCGCGCTCTTACGCGGAGGCGATAGAGGGTCCCTACTCCTCTCAGTGGCAGGCAGCTATGGACGCAGAGATGGCTTCCTGGAAGTCCACAGGCACCTACGTTGACGCTGTTCCCCCTCCCGGGGCGAACATCGTCAGTGGCATGTGGATTTTCAGGGTGAAGCGACCGCCGGGTTCTCCGCCTGTCTTCAAGGCGCGTTACGTGGCTCGTGGCTTCAGTCAGCGGCAGGGAGTTGACTACTTTCAGACCTTCTCTCCCACCCCGAAGATGACCACTCTTCGGGTACTGCTGCACGTAGCTGCTCACCGTGACTACGAGCTACACTCTCTTGACTTCAGCACCGCTTTCTTGCAGGGCAGCCTGCACGAGGAGATCTGGCTGCGTCGCCCACCTGGCTTCACTGGGTCTTTTCCTCCTGGCACCCAGTGGAGCCTACGGCGGCCAGTCTACGGTCTCCGCCAGGCACCGCGTGAGTGGCACGACACACTGAGGACTACACTTGCAGCTCTTGGGTTTGCTCCCTCTACTGCCGACCCGTCGCTGTTTCTGCGCACCGACACTTCTTTGCCGCCGTTCTACATCCTCGTGTACGTCGACGACTTGGTCTTTGCCACAGCTGACACTACTGGACTAGCCCACGTGAAGTCCGAGCTGCAGAAGAGACACACGTGCACTGACCTGGGTGAACTGCGCAGCTACCTTGGCTTGCAGATCACTCGGGACAGAGCACGCCGCACCATTACCCTGACTCAGTCACACATGGTGCAGCAGGTCCTTCAGCGCTTCGGCTTCACGTACTCCTCGCCTCAGGCCACTCCTCTGCCTACTCGCCACTCGCTCTCAGCTCTGCCTTCGGATGAGTCCGTAGAGTCGAGTGGCCCGTACCCAGAGCTTGTTGGCTGCCTCATGTACCTGATGACCTGCACACGACCTGACCTTGCATACCCTCTTAGCATTCTTGCACGCTATGTTGCTCCTGGGAGACACAGACCGGAGCACATGGCTGCAGCGAAGAGGGTGTTGCGCTACTTGTGCAGTACGTCGGGCATGGGGCTTGTGCTTGGAGGGCAGAGTCCAGTGGTCCTTACTGGGCACGCAGACGCTTCTTGGGCTGACGACCAGGCTACGCAGCGGTCGTCACAGGGTTACACCTTCAGCCTTGGTTCCGGCTCTGTTTCGTGGCGGGCTACTCGCTCGTCTTCTGTTCTCGGCTCCAGTTGTGAGGCTGAGATCTACGCAGGAGCCATGGCTGCACAGGAGCTTCGCTGGCTCACCTACCTGCTGACTGACCTCGGAGAGTTGCCTCGTTCTCCTCCAGTGCTGTACGTAGACAACAAGGCCATGCTGGCCTTGTGTCGGGAACAGCGACTGGAGCACAGAACGAAGCACATTGCTCTCCGCTACTTTCTTGCTCGTGAGCTGCAGCAGCGTGGTCAGCTGCGTCTTGCGTACGTGGCCTCTGAGGCCAACACTGCTGATATCTTCACCAAGGCACTTGCGCCTTGTGACCATCAGCGCTTCTGTACTCAGCTGGGCCTTGTGCCTACCTTGCCTCACTTGCTCACCTCTTGACCTTGCTTGTACTGTTACATATATATATACCTGCTCTTGTTTGTCTAGCCTTTTTATATATATGTGTACTCCTGCTTGTGAACTGGCCTTGTGGCCTTGAACTTGTGCTCGGAATGTGTGGTGACTTTGTGATCCACCCTGAGCTTGTTTTTGCTTTGCTTTGCTTGACTGGTCTTGTGACCCCTTGTTCTCCCCCACTGTGCCTATGGGGGTGTGTCAGATTTATATGACATAGCTACTGTAGGCTATAGTGGGGTAGCACATATGGGGTACAGTTTTCTAGGGTTTGGTTCTTGTACCCAACTTTCACTTAGTCATTTTCCATTCCTCGTTTCTTCTCAAGCTCCAGTTAGGTGCCACGACTACACGCGGCAGCGACTTTTGTTTACGTGAAAGTGTGGAGAAAGTTTTATTGTCAACCCTTGTGTAAAGAGTGGAAAGCAGGGCGCACCGTTGAGATTTCAATCAAAGAGTGCAAGTATACTGATGTGCTACTCATAGAACTCCCAAAGCTCATCCCGAGCTACCCACGTACGTAACCCCAAAGGTCACCCTACGCGTTATCCTGGATATGCTCTCACCCTATGACAACCCAGATATGCTCTCACCTCACCCTATGACAACCCAGATATGCTCTCACCTCACCCTATGACAACCCAGATATGCTCTCACCTCACCCTATGTCAACCCCGATATGCTCTCACCTCACCCTATGACAACCCAGATATGCTCTCACCTCACCCTATGTCAACCCAGATATGCTCTCACCTCACCCTATGTCAACCCAGATATGCTCTCACCTCACCCTATGACAACCCAGATATGCTCTCACCTCACCCTATGTCAACCCCGATATGCTCTCACCTCACCCTATGTCAACCCCACCCCAATATGCTCTCACCCTCTGGTATCCCAGGCCCAGCACGTGGTGGAAAGCTGCTTCCATGCGCGCCCCCACGTCTCCCCCCACCTGCATGGGTTTAGGTTTAGGGTTACGATTGGATTGTTTCGGGTTTCGAATTCAGGGTTGGGGAAGGCTGGTTGCATGCACACACCCACGTCTCACCCCACCTGCATGGATGGTGGCATGGGGACGACTGATGCAGGCATGGATACTGGGTTGCGGCATATGGATGGACTCTTGCAGATTATCAATGCACGCATTGGATGTAGGAATGATGGCAGGTGAGAACACGGTGTGGGGATGGGGTGCGGGCATGGGGTGTGGGCATGGGGTGTGGGCATGGGTGTGGGCATGGGGTGTGGGGATGGGGTGTGGGATGGGGTGTGGGGATGGGGTGCGGGCATGGGGTGTGGGCATGGGGTGTGGGCATGGGTGTGGGCATGGGGTGTGGGCATGGGTGTGGGCATGGGGTGTGGGGATGGGGTGTGGGATGGGGTGTGGGGATGGGGTGCGGGCATGGGGTGTGGGCATGGGGTGCGGGCATGGGGTGTGGGCATGGGGTGTGGGCATGGGTGTGGGCATGGGGTGTGGGCATGGGTGTGGGCATGGGGTGTGGGGATGGGGTGTGGGATGGGGTGTGGGGATGGGGTGCGGGCATGGGGTGTGGGCATGGGGTGTGGGCATGGGGTGTGGGCATGGGGTGTGGGCATGGGGTGTGGGGATGGGGTGTGGGCATGGGGTGGGGGGATGGGGTGTGGGCATGGGGTGTGGGCATGGGGTGTGGGGATGGGGTGTGGGCATGGGGTGTGGGCATGGGGTGTGGGGATGGGGTGTGGGCATGGGGTGTGAGAATGAAATGAGAATGCACAGCTGTGGTGGGGTTAAAACGGAACTTCTGACCTGAGGCACGAAGCGGAGGGAGGTGGAGGATGGGAGCAGCTGCTGCATCCACCGTCGGATCTCGCCTTCATCCGACGGCTCAGAGAAGAAGATGAAGACATGCGTGGATGCCTGCCTGCCTGCCACACCACAGCCACAACTGCTGAGAATGAAGGCCACAGCCATCCATGCGATGGGAGAAATTCGGAAACTTTTGCCAACTATGAGGCGGGCAGGCAGGCAGAATATGTCACAGCGATGGTCGCACTGAGCATGCCAGCTGTCACGTAGATGAGGCACAGCATCATCCTCGGACATGCGCCCGCCGCGACCATGCGAGGCTCAGCTGGAGGTCACGTTACAACATCTAGTACCGTACTCGCCAGAAGCCCTGCGCCTCGCTATAGTCACGTACAGCTCGGGGAAGCGCACGATATTGACGACGACGTGTTCGCAGCATGCGCGGTAAAAGGCGAATTTTGATTCGACTAAACAATCACCTCGCTATAGTCACGTACAGGTCGGGGTAGCGCGTGACCCTGGTGACGACGTGTTCGCAGCACGCGCGGTAGAAGTCGCACGCCGCGTCCGCCCCCACGCCGGCCGCCAGGCGCGTCTTCACTCGCCCCGGCGCCGGCCGCTTCACGAAAATCATCACTGCCTGCGCGCCGAGCGGCTCCGTCGCTTGACTCCCGAGCGCACTCACCTCACTCGCTTCACTCGCACTCAGTTTAGGGTCGCTCATTCTAGCGTCGCACACTCCAGCGTCGTCCAAAGTACCGGCGTCGAACACTCCAGCGTCGCTCATTCGTTAAAACCCGAGGTCCAAGAGTTTCAGACTTAGGAAGGTTGGTTGGTCGTTCTCGAGGCTATTGAGAGAACGACGGTTACCGTAGTCCTGAAACGGCGATGGCGATTGCTTCGCTGTGGATGCGGCAGTCACGCGGTACGGGTGAGCGGCAAGAATGAGCGAGAGACGGACAGCTCAACTGAGCTGACTTGTCAAACGGATACGAACGCGCAGGCGCCTTGTGATATGGCGGCAAATTTGAACAGGCTGACTGGTCAATGGTCCCGAAAGGCAAGGGAGGGGAAAGGAAGCGGTGGTTCAGCTTGAAGGGAGAAAGTCTGTTTAGTGCGGCACAGTAAGGTGCTTTGCGTTCTACAAGTTTCAAATAAGATTATAAAACGGTTGAGAGTATTTCAGTTCCTGGAATCTGGAGCATTCCCTTGAGGTATTGCAGTTCCCCGTTGGCTCGCGGAAGCATTCCGTTCAATCGCCAATCTCGCGATGTTCTCGAAGCAGCTCGTTCGCCAATGGGCGTCGAGGTCTTTCCTAGTCAATGGGATCTTGGATTTGAAACACTGACCATCGTCCTTCCCCGAGAATCAGATTGACGACAGAGAGCGAACGTCGCCGACGCCGGCGAAAGAGGGGGATCCGTTGGCGGGAGGATATTTTCTTAGGGTCCCGCTACCAGACAACCAGATCTCCGCTCTGGCGCGCAGCAGCGGCAGAGGGAAATCCGCAGCAGACAGCACAAATGAAAGCTGAAGACACCTGCTGAGTTCGCTAGCGTCGGTTCAGATCAGAATTGACCAGTGAAGCGGAGATTCACACATTCCTTGTGTTTTTCGCCACGAAGTGCTTCGAGCATAGTCCACTACAAGGTAGTTGGCGCATACTATCGCATACTGTCGCCTACGGTCGCATACTATCGGATACTATCGTCCATTCGCCATGAGCGAGAGCAGCGCGGCGACGGCCACGGCGACAGCGGCAGGCGTCAGCTTGAAGCAGCGCCGGACGCCGGCCGACGCATCGCAGCCGTCCGTCGCGCCGGACGCCGGCAACGCGATCAAAGATACCGACGCGTTGAAGGACAAGGCGAAGCCACGTGGCGCCTCGCCGCGCCGGCGGTCCGGCTGGCTCGTGCTGGTGCTCGTGGTTCTGGTGGCGGCAGCGGCCGGCGCGGGTTATTACTTGTGGCGGGAATACAGCGAGTTTGTCGTGATCGACGACGAGGAGTTCGAAACCGAGCCGCCCGTCGAGAAGGTCGCGGCGCGGTCCAACCCGCGGAAAGCCCAATGGCAAGCCGATGTGAGTCGCTGCGTTCGTTGCTGGATGCGTCGCGGATGTGCGTCGCCCGGTCGCTGACTGAGATGGAAGGCTGGCGACGAGGGTTGCGATCATTTCCCGCTGAGTGATCCCTTTTTGTCACCTCATGCCCTATCGTCACCTGATCCATTCTCGTTGTCCCTCCGCGCCGGTCTTTTTCCTTCGCTCCTGTACCAGAGCCTCCGAGAGCTATATCAGATGTGAATTCCCTAGTCATCAAAACAGTGGCATTTTTTTGGCGTCTCAAATTCCGAGAGTTAGCCTGATGTGAATCCTCTAGTCATTTCAGCAGTGACGCATCACACACATACCACTCTCTGCCACGTGGACTAATGCACGACGTTTGAGACATCTCAAAGCCATCAGCGTCGCATCATACTACTCTCCGTCAGATGAATACATGTTGCGCGTTTAGACATGTTTCCCCAGCGCGACTCCGAACCTCCCCCTCTGGCTTGGCTTCTCACCCTGCGCGTTTCCGCATCCGCTGCTGTCCATCAGCGCGCTTCCATGCACGCCTCACTGTCTCGAATGTGACTGTCCCGTTTGTGACTGTATCGAGTATAACAGAAGCTGTGGAGCGCGGAGGAACTGACCAGAGGGCCTTCCGCTGCTTTCCATGCCCATACCCATGCCCTGCCCCCTCACATGCCATGCTTCACTGTCTCCTTTGTGACTGTCTCGTCTGTAACAGAAGCTGTGGAGCGCGGAGGAACTGGCCAAGTACAACGGGTCGACAAAGGGCCTTCCGCTGCTGCTGGGCATTCTGGGGTGAGCGGGGCGTAGGATTGGTCAGAGGTATGCGTGGGCAGTGGCCAGGCGAGGGTGAGTGGGGCGTCAGTAGCCTAGGCTAGGTCGAGTGAAGAGTGAGAGATACCCCATACCCACCCACCATGAGCTGTGTTCATGGCTGCTGTTGATGTAAGGAGCAGGTCACATGGTGAATTTTTAGTATATGCCCCATGCCCAATGCCCCATGCCCAATGCCCAGTGCCCCATGCCTAATGCGCCATGCTCCATGCCCCATGCCTAATGCGCCAGGCTCCATGCCCCATGCCTAATGCGCCATGCTCCATGGCGCATTAGGGCAAAAAACACTACGGCAAGGGGCAGGGGTCCGTTGTGAGGCAATCCTAACCCTCAGAAAGTCACTCAAACCTGCTGAGGGTTGTGAGGCATTCCTGCTGCCCCAAACCCCCTACGCCCCACACCCTATACCTGCAGGGACGTGTTCGATGTGACCAAGGGCAAAAAGCACTACGGCAAGGGGCACGGGTCCGTTGTGAGGCGACTCAAAAGCGCACCCCATACCCAACACCTTAACCCCATACTCCACAACCCTTTCCTGCAGGGATGTGTTTGATGTGACCAAGGGCAGGAAGCACTACGGCAAGGGGCAGGGGTACAACCATTTCGCTGGCAGGTCAGTAACCGTTCCCAGGCTGCCATGTCAGCACCTCAAGATGTCAGGTCAATGTTTAAGGGACTTCCGAAGTGGCACTTTCATAAGTGGCACGACACTGCGATTTGCCCTGATTCCCAAGCGTATGACCTGACCTGAGTAACCCTGGCAGAGCTCGTCTTGACCGCACGCTACTGCCACGGCATTGAGCTTCCCAAGCCCGACACCCATGGGACCTTGTAGGCATCTCAGGAGTGTAGGGCTTGGGGAATTCAAACTCAATGCAACTGAATTTTGAGACGTCTTAAAAGCATTGAGCCTCCCAAGCCCTACACTCACGGAGGTTGCAGGCATCTCGAGAGTGTAGGGCTTGGGGAATCGAATACTATTGAACCCACCTTTGTGTGCGCAAGCTCGTGCCGTGACTCTTTGCCATGCCATCTGCCTCCTGTCTCACCTGCTGCTCCTTTGTGCTGATGAGGCGTCTGAAGAATCGGCCCCTGCTCCATCCATGCTCTTTCTTCCTGCCTCTGCCTCGACCCCATTTCTCTGCATCTCTACACCAACCCTCCCGTGTGGCATCCGTTTCTCCTCCCTATTTGTACTCACTCCTTTCCACCTCTCTCTCACGCCTCCCCTTTTTTTCCATTGATCCCAATCCCGTCTCACAGGGATGCCACGAGGGCATTCGTCTCAGGCAACTTCTCAGGTATGACAGTCCACGCCATGCCATCCCATCCCATCCCATTTCATCCCAAACCATGCCATTCCATCTCAAACCATGCCGGTCCATAACATGCCACGCATGTGTGGTAAGCTGCTTCATAATCGGATCAAGCTTCCCTGTACACAGCTGATGAGCGTTCATCCACCAGCACCGCATGGCACCGCATGGCGCCGCATGGCACCTCATGACCCTCTTACCTCTCTCCCTCACACCTTCGTCTTGCTCTCTGTCCCCATCAGCCTCCTTACGCCTTCCATCTTTTATCATCCATTCAATCGGTCCTTATCATCGCCCTCTCTTCTTCCCCTCCCCCCTCTCCTTCCAATCCCTTTTAGTCTATCGCCCCCCCTGCAGGTGTCGGTTTGACGGACGATCTGACGGGGCTGTCAGGTTTCGAGTCGACTCAACACTAAACTCGACTTTTGAGTCGACTCAAAACTCGCCCTCTCTTCCCCCCCTCCTCCCTTCCCTTCCAATCCCTCGCCCTACCTGCAGGTGACGGTTTGACGGACGATCTGACGGGGCTGTCAGGCGAGCAGTGCATTGGCATTGCTGACTGGTGGGATTTTTACTTCAAGACCTACATGTGAGTAGACATGAGCAACGAGCGAACCGAACACGTTTGACTCGAACAGCTTTCCTAAATGTTAGTGTTCCCCGTTCGAGTATAGGGTCGAACAGTTTTGAGGTAAGGCCAAACACTAAGGTGTTTGACCCGAACTCGAACAGTTTGCCTTGGGGGGTTCTTTCAGTATAGTCACATTCAGGCCGGGCGAGTGTACTAGAAGCAATGTCACGCTCCCTATAGCCCTACAAGAGATATAGTTAGGCTTGATGCAGATCTGGTGGATATCCAATTTTGCCTTGCTAAACTCCAACCTAAATCGTAATGCCCTTAGTTCCTTTTTTTAACCGTCTCCTACTCTAATCCAACCTTATACCTAACGTTTCCAGCCACAAAGTGGAATTTTAATCGTGGGAATGTATTAGTTTAAGTGGGTAGGGGGCGGAATGCCATCCTTAGGCTATATCGACGATTGAGCTCATTCTTGAGCTAAATCGTCGCCCTCCCCTTTTAGATCCAACCAGCGCGTCAAACTTTGACGTGCATAAAAATGCACGAACACCTAGGTGTTTGCGACGAACACATTGTGTTCGCGAACACCTAAGTGTTCGTGATTTTTTCTGCACACGAACACTCGAACAGTCGAACGTGTTCGTGACGAACACCAAGGTGTTCGTCACGAACTATTTTGGGCAAAAAAACCATTCGAACACGTTCGAGTCGAACACTTTCGAATCGAACCGAACAGGGGTTCGAATTTTTGCTCATGTCTACATGTGAGTTACTTCGTGCTGGGAGAGAAGAGAAAGTGTGGGAGGGGCTGTTAGGCGAGCAGTGCATTGGCACTGCTGACTGGCGCGACTTCTACTTCAAAACCTACATGTGAGAAGGAACCCACGTACATGAGGACTGTATGAGAGGGACTGACTGTCAGCTGTCAGGCGGGCGAGCAGTGCATTGGCATTGCTGACTGGCGCGACTTTTACTTAAAGACCTACATGTAAGAAGGGCCTACAGTGCATGAAGAGTTTTTTGAGAATTCTGTGCTGCGTGTGGGATGAATGCATAGTGAGGGTCTGACTGCCAGGCTGTCAGGCAAGCAGTGCATTGGCATTGCTGACTGCCGCGACTTTTACTTCAAAACCTACATGTGCGTTGCTTGAGTCTCAAACATTAGGTACTTTGGGGCTCAGGGCCTCACTGTCTGTGCTGAGCGTGAGGAGAAAGCGTGTGAGGGTTGGTAGATCAGGCGAGCAGGGCATGGGCATCGCGATTTGGCTTGACTTTTGATTCAAAACCATGTGAATTATATTCATGTATGAGGCAATCATGTGTGTGTGTTGGGGGGGGCTCTGCAACCCACTGTCAGTGCTGGGTGTGAGAAGAATGCATGTGAGGGAGAGGGCAGGGCAGGGCAGGGCGACAGATTCTCTGGGCGAGTTCGCCGTCCTTATTGAGGACGGGCAGTGGCTGAGAGAGGCGGCTACGACTGGGAGAGCAATAGGCAATCCGCGCTCCTCCTTGCCTTGATTCGCCTTGACTTGAGTCCGCTCAAAATACACCTGACGGAGGGGCAGCGGCTGAGGGACGTGGCCAAGGCTCCCTGCCTTCGCCTCACTGCTTGTCCTCCTTCGTTCTCCTTGCCCTCCCTGCTTCCAGCCACGTGGGGAGGCTGGTGGGCTGGTTCTATGACAAACCGGGCGGGGCGAGCGGTCAAGAAAGTGATACTCGATTTCCCCTGCCTCCACCCTTCACTTCTTGTCTCTCGTCTCTACTTTCTTTCCTTGCCTTCTCTTGCCCTTCCTCTGCTGCTTCAGCCACGTGGGGAAGCTAGTGAGCCAGTTCCATGACAATCAGGGCAGGGCGACGGGTGCTCTGAGGATAGAGGCAGAGAACCATGCCCACCCTCCGTCTCTCGTATCTCCTTGCCTTCCCTTGCCTTCTTTTGCTGTTCACTGCTGATTCAGGCACGTGGCGAAGCTGGTGGGGCGGTTGACTTTGAGTCGACTCAGAAGTCAACTTGAAGCTGGTGGGGTGGTTCTACAACGAGCAGGGGAAGCCAAAAGATGCGCTGGGCGAGTTTGACGAGCTGCTCAAGGAGGGCAAGCGGCTGAGAGACGTGGCCAAGGTGGCGGAAAAGAAGTACCCCGGGTGCAACTCGCGGTGGGCGCAGAAGGAGGGCGGCAAGGTGCGACCCCGTGTTTCCCTCGTTGTTCCCCCCTGTTTCCTCCCAGCCCCTCCCTTCCTGCTCCTTCTTCCCCAATCTCCGGTCCCCATTCATCTCTCCCGCGCATCTTGTGAGAGACATCTTAAAGCCCAAGGCCGTGGAGAAGCAATACCCCGGGTGCAACTCGCGATGGGCGCAGAACGAGGGCGGCAAGGTAACGTGTCTCCCTCCCTGCTCTTTCCCAGATCCTCCCTCCGCTGCGCATCTCTCTCCAACCCCCATTCCCCACTCATGGTTCGAGGCATCTCAAATGCCAAGGAGGTGAGGTCCCGCGTTCCTGCCTTGTTCTCCACTGCTCCCCCCTTGCTCATACCTCCCTGTTCCTCCCTCCTCGTTGCTCCCTTCTCCTCCCCGCTCCTCTGTCCGGATCAACTTCTGCGGCGTCTCATAAGGCCGATGCGGTGGAGACGAGGTACCCTGGATGCATTCTTTAGATTGGCTCAGAATGAGGGCGGCAAGGTGCTGTCTTTCTCTCCTCGCATTTACTCCCTGCCGTCTCAACCCTCCCTGCTCCTACCCCCTTCTCGCCCCTCTCTCCCCCTCCGTTCTTGTGAGGCACCCCAATGCTGTGGAGACGAGGTACCCCGGGTGCAACTCGCGATGGGCTCAGAACGAGGGTGGCAAGGTGCAGCCCGGCTACTCTCTCTTCGCGTTCACTCCCTGCCCTCTCCTCCCTCCCCGCTCCAACCTCCTCCCCCACCCGAGAGAGCATTGTAATTTATAATTGTCAGTGTCACTGATTGGTGCTACTACACCATGCATATAGTCTGAGAATTCACACACACATGAATCTCTCGCGGGTTGCATTGCCTACGATGGGCAGCCTGCTTGTCACACCAGCAAGTGCACAAAGTCATTCCACATTGACTGCTGTTTTGTTGAATACTGTAGGAATTATAAATTGGAGTCATAGATGTTGGGCTTGTTGGAAACAAGCAATTTAACGCTCCTGTTGTGTCGAAACAATAGACTACAAACGATGCGAATCACAGCGGAGCAACGGCGAGTCAACGGAGGAGGTTGACAGAAAGTAACAGCTGGAGGTTACGCGAAGGTCAAAGGTCAGCGACCTTTGACTCGACGAAATACAGAGCGACAGCAAGGACAAACAACTGACTCGGTATTGAGCAGTTGCCCGAGTCATCACTGTATCGATCCGCAACAGCAAACCAGTTAGTTGCACCTTTTCGTATTCCTTGTAATCTTATAAAAGCCTTTGTATTACCTTGCTATAATCAATCTCTTGCTCTCACACACTAGTGCAAGTTGATTCAACAAGTTCACTAAGAACGCTTCCGCAATTACAGCATTCCTACTCAGGGTCTTAGCCTTGGAAAGATCCTAAGGGCTTTTATCAGCCCAACATGGTATGAGAGCTATAAGGCAAGATCCAACATCATTTTTTTTATCTTCTACAACATCAGAAGGCATGGCAACGCAAAAGGAGAGAAGCTCTTCTAACGGCTCCCCCGGCACTACATATACTCCACCTCCAACCTCAGGCCTGCAGACGGAAGGAGGCACAGCGACAAGACCAGCAGCCGAGCCTACTGAAACTCCTGCTGACCCAAGCATGATGGAGAAATTCTTCTCCTTCATGTCCTTCTACGAGCAGCACCAGCAAGCAGCACCTGCGCAATCAAACAACAACGACAACAACAATGGGGTTACTCCAATGAGCCTTGACGGTTCATCCTATGCGCGCGGAAACCAGCAGCAACCTACCTTTGCCCCGTACGAACCTCAACGTGGCTCCATCAGCTTCATGCCACACCAACAGCCTTCACTTGGACAAGAGAAGACACTGGACGCGCTTCAAGTTCAATCACAGTTCGCACACGTTTTGAAACTACAGACATCGACACCCTTTGACGGAAAGGACTTCTATACCTGGTCATTCGAGTTTGAGCTAATGATGGAAGGCGCGCAGATTCTCGGATTCTTAGACGGATCCCTGCCATACCCAACACACGGGACGCAGTACGACAAGCAACAGTACACGTATCAGTCACTGATGGCGTATACGATTCTTTTGCGAAACACAACCCCGAACGAACAGCAGAACATCCGGTCTTATCGAGGGTACGGCAACTCCGCCGAGCTCGCGTACAGCCACCTGAAGAACCTGTATCAAGCAACAGACAGTGTTAATCAAAGTCGTCTCATGGCACAGCTAACAACAGTGGAAATGAAATCCGGCGAAAAAGGGATGGCATATATCAGCCGTTGTCGTGGACTGTGCGACAGACTCCTTCAATGCGGAGGATCGATATCCGAAGAAGCCTTCGTGACAGTTGTCATCACTGGCCTCGGTCCTCATTGGCGCTCCACTCGAGTTATCCTCCGAGCTCACGGGAAGATCTCCGAAGCGGCACTCTGTGCAGAAATTCACGCTGAACAGCAGGACATGGACCTACACGAAGAACGACACAAGAAGAGAGCGTCAGCACTAGAGTTCGCGTTTCACACTCAACGGCGCTACAACAACAACAACAACAATCAACAGAACAAACATCAAGCTCAACAGTACGTACCACCGTTCTGCCATCTCTGCAAGACGTCAGGACACCCTCGCACACACTACCCAAATCAGCAGCAGTCAACGCCGTCGCAACGTCAACTTCGACCCTCAAGCAGTCAAGTTGCTTCTACACAAGCGCATCCTGTCAGAATAGTAGTCAAACTTGGAAGTTAGGTTTAGGAGGCATAGCTTGAGTGGTGAGAGGAACATGAGGAACGTGAGAGAGTTTAGCCAACAAAAGTGGTTCAGTAATGAAAAAGGGTACAAGGATATAGGCAAAGGAGAAAGCAATGGTGCACCACCTGCAATATATCATAACTACAGTAGCCTCTACTGTAGGCTTTATATAAATGTATACGAATACATTTCAACACACCCCCTAAATGCCTATAGTGAGAACCGTGTGCAACACACCACCTGCAGGGGTACACCAAGTGCAGCGGAAGAAGCAGCAGCAGGCAGGAGGAGTGGCAGCCGGTGCAGTCGTGGCAGATACAGCTGTAGCGAACCCTCAGCCAAGTCAGAATAGCAGAAGTGGGTGCATGTGACGGCAGGTCGCCTGGAGAGCGGGTGCGTGCGGCTGCAACGTGCGGCGGCACAGCAGAGCTCAACGGCAGCACCTGCCGCTCAACAGCAGCAGGCAGCAGCACCAGGAGGAGGTGGTGGCAGGGGCGGCAGCAGGAGGTGCCACAGTAGCAGCAGGCAGCAGCTGCATATGCTTGGCTGACTTATGCCACCCCCTCACCCCCCCCCCCCCCCCCCCCCCCCACCCACAGCGGCACGCAGGACAGTGAGAGAGAGAGGAGGGGCAGCTGCAGATGCGGCACAATCTCTCCCGCCATCTCCTCACCCTCCCCCCCTTCCCCCACAGCGACAGGCGCTGCAGGGAGAGAGAGGAGAGAGGAGGACGATGGCTGGTTCCTACGAGTACACTCCCGCCACCCCTTCACCCTCCCCCCCACAGCGACAGTCGCATATGGGGCGATAAAGGGCGACGTCTGATGATGCAGGCTCCAATCGCCACCCTTATCCCCCTTCTCTCCCCCCCACAGCAGCAGGCACCGGATGGCGGCAGAGGGTAGGAGCGGCGGAATTCGCGGTCGCTGCTGCAGATTTTGCTCGCCATCCACCCCCACAGCAGGCGTGAATGCTACTGGCGCTGGCGGGATCGCGGCTGGGCTGCGACGAGCGGGACGGGGGGGCGGAACTGGGGGCGCGACGAGCGCCCTTGCGCAACTCGCCTTCGCTAGCGCGGCAGCAGCGGGATGTCAAGCAGAAAAGCGACGGACGGGGCTCGACATCGCGTCCGTCGCGACCGTCACCCTGAGCGCCGTGACGAGCGCCACAACGGGCGCTATAGTGGCTGCGACGTGCGCCATGACGGAAACTAGAAGCGGTGGGCCCATAAAAAATTAGGTCAAGGAGCTTAGTCGCTCTGAAACCATGTCAGAATAGTAGTCAACCTTGGAAGTTAGGTTTAGGAGGCATAGCTTGAGTGGTGAGAGGAACGTGAGGAACATGAGAGAGTTTAGCCAACAAAAGTGGTTCAGTAATGAAAAAGGGTACAAGGATATAGGCAAAGGAGAAAGCAATGGTGCACCACCTGCAAGATATTATAACTACACTAGGCTCTATTGTAGGCATATATATAAATGTATACTAATACATTTCAACACATCCCACCAATCAAGTACAGTCCTCAACGACATCGACGACAAAACTTACACAAGGCGCAAGAAACATCGTAAGCTGCATAGCAAGAACCACAGACTCCTGCATCACCGGATCGCCACCATACTACTCACCAGAAGAACAACTCGACGAAAGCACCCCTCGCCGTGAATCATTGGAGCCCAACCCGACGTACGCAGCCATCGCCCAGAGCGAGCCGTCCGGGAAAGACACCTGGTTATTGGACAGCTGCTACGGACAACACATGTGCTCATCGGGTCGCTTCGTTCAACGGGAACATCAACTTCAACTCGAAGTCGTAATCACCGTCGCCAACAACTAGAACCTGCGCACACGTCGACAAGGGATAGTTCAACTTCAGTCTCGAGAAACCAACGTTATTCTGCAGATGTCAAAGGTTTTAATCACAGAAGGACTCGGCTATAACTTACTCAGCGTCAATCAACTAATGGCGAAGGGAATCCATCTCGAAGCAGACAGTACCACCCAGGAGTTCAAGTTGTACCACGGGAAGGGTGGACTCTACATCGGCAAAGCAGTCTTGAAGAACAATGTCTTCATTCTTGACTTCGTTCCAAACCAAGGCACCGCCGACAGCGACGCCATCATCAACTTCATCTCCTGGACACACCCGCTAGATCTCGACCCCGACTTTAGTCCTGAAGGCTTCTGGTGCTCACACACTATACCTAAAGCAGAACGAACGAGAGCGTTAGTGACAATCCAACAAACATCGGCAGCAGCAGAGACAACATCGGCAGTAGCACAGACAACATCAGCAGCAGCAGAGACAACATCGGCAGCAGCAGAGACAACATCAGTATCAGCAGAGACAACATCGGCAGCAGCAGAGACAACATCGGCAGCAGCAGAGACAACATCGGCAGCAGCAGAGACAACATCAGTAACAGCAAAGACAACATCGGCAGCAGTAGAGACAACACCGGCAGCAGCAGAGGCAACACCGACTACAACACCAATCGCGGGTCCTTCAACATCACCAGCTCTCATCGACGATACTCCACCGACTCCTGCGCAGCAGTTGACTCCCACTCCACGCGAAGTTCACAGAAGCGCCAACCTCACCGCGGGATTTTACTCTAACTCTGACCTGTACAGGCGATCACCCGGACATCGCGCTAGCGAATCAATCTGGCACGCAAGGATGGGACACCCGAGCAACACAACGTTAAACAACACTATAAGAGCTGGAGAACTCGACAAGGACTCACTGCTACTACATGACGGTAGGGAACTCCAGCGAGTTCGCGGAACATGTTTTGCCTGCCCCGAAGCCGACTTACCCCATCAACCATTCGTCTCTCACCACAACCCGAGCGC